CTGAGCTCCTGGCAGCTGCTCCTTCTGCTCACTGCCCCAAAGATGCCTGTAACTTGGGGATGAAAGCTTCCCTTCCCTCTGCCAGGTGCCAAAGGTTAGCCCTGGGCAGGACATTACTGCTGTGCCTGCAATTACTGTACTCGTCTCAAAGCTGAAGTTCTACAGCAAAGCAAAATCTAGACAGTGTGGGGCTTCTGAGTCACAAACTATGGAAGAACCAGCATTTTAAGAGCTTGATTTTGGTCCTTGAAATTCACCCGATTTTCTCTCCTACCTGATTAATTCCTGTTGACACAGGCTGGACAGGAACAGACACAGGCTGAGCTGTGGCAGATGGTGCCTTGGAGGTTTCTTGATGTTTGATTGCAGTTCTAGCAGCAGGAGATGCAGCGTTCAAGGAGGTGTCAGCTGGCCTTGGTTTGCTGTGAAATATCAACCAAAAACAAGTTCTCTAATTGTAAGCTAGAGCTACATGTGTGTCCATGAGTTATGTCTGTCCCATTACATGTCAACCCCAGCCTCACTGGGATTGAATTCCAGTTGATCCAAGCTGCCAAAACATACTCATTGGCAAACTGTTTTTTATATGAATCAGGCCACTAATATATGTGTGTCTATATATATATGTATCTAAAAATTTCAGTTACACCAAATGTAATAAATGGCCTGAATTAACCCCACTGTGGCTTGAAAGTTGTTGTTATCAGCTCTCAGCAGCATGAGAGAGCAGTGCTAGTTTCTCAGAGGACAATGCTAATTCTCTTGCTCTGCCCCCCTGAGTTTGTCTGAACATTTGGTAATGGAAATCCATGGTCTGCTTAGATACAGATTAAATAATTTACTGCTGAAAATTGAAAAAGAGCTATGCTGGCTGACCAACATGTAATGCAATTTTGGTAGTGTACAGGTTGGCATCTCTTCACTTATTCTAGGTTGTTTCTATTTGAAAGTAAAAGTGTTGACCATATTTCTTCTTATTGCTAAGTAAAATAACACAGCCAATGAAGAGGTCTTTTCATTCAGTTTGAGATGTGCATTGCTCCTCTGGGAAAGCCAACCTTCAAATCAGAGGAAGCCTTTCTCAGAGTGAACGTACAGTTGTTGTGAATACTGATTTCTCTTTTGAAACTGTGAACTTTTTTTTTTTGCACCTGTTCTTATATTTATTCCCTTTAATTACAGGTGTTCAGATTCATGTGATGGCAACTGGGAGCTAAGCAAAAATAAGGAGACACTGATTATACCCAGACCTGATCTTTCATAATTCTATCATTTGAGGACATCCCACTGCAATGGCAGAGCAGCATTCTTTTTTTCCTGAGAAATACAGAATGCAATCTATTACTTCACTATGTAATCAGGTAAGCAACTTAAGAGATGCCATCAAGTTATCAGGATCATGGTCAGCACTACATTAACACCTAATGAGATTAATAAGAAAAATAATTACACCTAAAACATTTGTAAAAATCTGAGCTAGAGCTATGAAAAACTTAGCAATTAATCCTGAAACCTTTGAGATTTTCTCGAACTTAAGTTTTATATTGAAGCTTTACACTTAGCAAAGCCCATAAACCAATCCAATCAAGTATTTTATAATTTTGGAGTAAAATCACCTAAGAAAGGATTTTTTATCAGCCTGAGGTCTTCAGTGAAAGACACTACATTGTTTTGTGCTTGCATTTTAAAAGAAAATTACATCTGTCATTACTATAACCCTGCTTGATAAATAATGGGAAAAAAACAGGGTACCTAAGTCTGTCTGATTAAAATTCCTCTTTATAAAGCACTGGTTGCTTTTGGGGTTGGATTAATACATACAGACGAGTTTAACATAAAGCACTGATTTTAGTTTTCAGCCAGTCTATGACTCCCTTTCCAGTTACAGAGACTTTGATTCTGAATGTCTATAGATTTTAATGGCATTTGATCAGGTTCTAAGTGGATTTCATTTAGAAAAAATAAAATAATTTCCCAGGTTTTAGATTATATTGGACACAATTTCTTTCTTTTTATGATTAAGTAGTCTTCTGTACCCATAATTTCAATTTAATCTAGTTCATATGTATTATTTTCCTTGTTTTAAATCCAAGTAATCCATGTTTAGCTGTCTTCTAAGCACTTAATAACACACTGTATTTTCATGTGAGACATTTTACTACATTGTCAGAGTGTAGGACACACCAGCAAATGTGCATTTGTTCCATAGTATTTGTAAAGGAAATAAACACACAAACAAAACCAAAACAATCCAAACAGATCCCAAACAAAAGCCTGAGGTGTTGGAAGCTGCAAAATGTTAATGGTAACTGAAATATTGACACTTACAGGGTCTCTTATCTATAAGAAGTATGGTAGATGTAATTGATTTTAAACTTACTGATCCATTTCGTCTCTGATGATTTCACCTTCAGAATCAGACGAAGAGACTCCTACGGAAAAAAAAAAACAAACATTACTTTATCAGAGGGGGTTTTGGAGAACTTTATTCAGATTTTCTCTAGAGCATCCTAAGGATATATATTAAATAGCTATGCCAAAAGATCATATTGTGGAAATGAACCATCATTCCAGGCTGTGTAAGATGCCTGTTGATGTAAGGCAGATTTGGGATGAGGTGCAATTGAAATGAGGAAAAGAGCACCCAAGGGAGAATGTACTTGGGTCTTTCTCAGGTTCTCTTTAAAATGCCACTGGTGGGATTTAGTCTGTAATTGCTGCTGTGAATCTAAGTGAGAGCTGTTTTGGTTATTTTGTCTCAGACACCTGATACTACCAGTTATATTTTTTTCAAAAAAAAAGGAAAAAAAGAGAGATACCTGGAATCATAGCTGTTATTCTTAAACTAGTGCCTTGTAGCACAGTTTGGAGAAGATATGAGCTCAGATTACTCTCAGCTGTCTTACTGAGACATTTTACACTTCAGATTCAGCCTTCACTGCGTTTGGAATTTGCATTTTCTCTGCATTTCCTGCCAGTGAGCGTCTCCATCAGCCATGGCTTCCATCCAGCATCCACTGGGTTAGGAAAAAGCAGGCCCTGGCCCCAGGCTGAAGAACTAGCAAGTCCTGCCAAACACAGACATCTCCAGGAATGTCAGGGGCAGTGCAGGTACTGAAAAAGGATTTGTCCTTTCACTGTCAGATTGGAGACGTGAAAGAAGAACAGGTGCTTTAGTTTATGAATGGTCCCACTGTTGGATGCAATCCAAAACCTTTCCCAAAAAAGTGTTAAAAAGAAATATAATAAATAGAACTCCTTTAAGCCAAGTAGGATATACTAAAAAGCATGTGGAGAAAGAAGGGAGACATAGATCTACCAAAATGTATTCTGTTTTGTTTACAGCATCTATTGTGCAAGTGAAATATCAAATTGCTGGCATATTTATTTGGATTACAAGGGCCAAATAATGGGTTAGGATGTATCATATATTA